CTGGAAAACTGCTCTTTTGGTTCCAATATACAAAAATTCCGGCAATAGAAACTTTGTGAATAATTATCGCGGTATCTCCAAATTATCCATATTCAGCAAATTATTTGAAAGCTTAATTTATGACATTATGTTTCATAGTCTTAAATCATCGATTTTAGAATGCCAACACGGATTTTTCTCCAAACGAGGGATTGAAACAAACTTGGTTATATATTCTGAATACATCTCGAATGCCTTAGACAATCAAGCGCAGGTGGATTCACTGTATACTGATTTCAGCAAAGCGTTCGATAAAGTCGATCACAACCTCCTTATATCGAAACTTTCTGGAATTGGTATACAGGGAAATCTCCTGAGATGGCTCTCGTCATATCTTTATAATCGAAGTCAACTTGTGAACATAAATGGATATAGGTCTGCCTCTTTCGTGGTAACTTCAGGAGTCCCTCAGGGCTCACATCTGGGTCCTTTACTGTTTTCAGTGTTTATTAACGATCTGAACAGCTGTTTCAAAAATTCACAGATACTGTTATATGCTGACGATTTGAAGATATTCAGAAAAGTGCTGACAATTAGGGACTGCTCAAAGATTCAAGAAGATCTAAATAGGTTCACTGAATATTGTAACCGTAACAAAATGAAACTCAATGTCAGCAAATGTGCGAGTATATCTTTCAGTAAAAACATTGTCCCTATAGAATTCCAATATCTACTGAATGATAGTATAGTCAAAAGAACGGACCGAATCAAGGATCTTGGTGTATACTTCGATACAAAAATGACTTTCAACCCACATTTTGAGTACCTACTTAATTCTTGTAATAGAGCTTTGGGATTTTTTTGCAGAACATGCAAGGACTTTGATAATGAGGCAGCTATCAAATCTGTTTATTTTGCTTTTGTTCACAGCAAACTAAATTTCGCCAGTGTAGTATGGAACCCACATTATAATGTTTATAAATTACGATTAGAAAGACTCCAGAATAGATTTGTAAGGTTTCTCCACTTCAAAATAACGAAGGTTTACATAACTGTTGGCATCAGTGAAATTCGTTCTCTTTATAAAATACAGCTTCTTGAACAACGACGAATAATTACGGATTTACTCTTTATGTACAAAATCATAAAAAATTGTTACGATTCTCCTAATTTAGTGTCTATGATTTTTTATCATGTTCCTCAAAGATATACTAGAAATAGACAATTACTTACTAGTCCTAGTTACAACACAAATTTGGGAAAAAATTCTCCAATCACCAGAATGTGTTACTGTTTCAACAAATATTGTAATAATTTAGATATATTCTCCATGACATTTAATTCTTTCAAAATAACTGTAAGACATATTTTCAATTTTTAATCTTATAATGAATACAATTCAGTTTATTCCTGTACCTCTTAGACTACCGAAGGATCTATTGTTATTGTAACTATTAGTGGATGCTTGTATGGGTTTTACCTGTTTGTATCCCGAACTTGAAATAAATAAATAAATAAATAAATAAATATATCATGTAACTCTCAAGTCCTGTGTTTGTATAAAATGGAGTTATTTATTTATGCTGATAAAAAATGAGACACAAATAATTTTTTGTAGAGGTCAACGAAAATAATATAATTAGGTATCTTCTAGAATATGGATGGCAAATGTTAAATCTGTGTATTTTCTTCATAACATTATTCAATGCTCATGAATGCAGTGGTTACATTTTTCACCTGTCTGACCAATGTATGTTCTCATGGTTTCTAGATTTTATGAGCTACTTTCAACATCCCTGATAAACATCATTCCCAATGTGCTAATTGTTCTATATCATGTAACTCTCAAGTCCTGTTCTTGTATAAAATGGAGCTATTTTTTTATGCTGATCAAAAATGAGACACAAATAATTTTTTGTAGAGGTCAACGAAAATAATATAATTAGGTATCTTCTAGAATATGGATGGCAAATGTTAAATCTGTGTATTTTCTTCATAACATCATTCAATGCTCATGAATGCAGTGGTTACATTTTTTACCTGTCTGACCAATGTATGTTCTCATAATTTCTAGATTTTATGAGCTACTTTCAACATCCCTGATAAACATCATTCCCAATGTGCTAATTGTTCTATATCATGTAACTCTCAAGTCCTGTTCTTGTATAAAATGGAGCTATTTTTTTATGCTGATCAAAAATGAGACACAAATAATTTTTTGTAGAGGTCAACGAAAATAATATAATTAGGTATCTTCTAGAATATGGATGGCAAATGTTAAATCTGTGTATTTTCTTCATAACATCATTCAATGCTCATGAATGCAGTGGTTACATTTTTTACCTGTCTGACCAATGTATGTTCTCATGGTTTCTAGATTTTATGAGCTACTTTCAACATCCCTGATAAACCTCATTCCCAATGTGCTATTTGTTCTATATCATGTAACTCTCAAGTCCTGTTTTTGTAAAAAATGGAGCTATTTTTTTATGCTGATCAAAAATGAGACACAAATAATTTTTTGTAGAGGTCAACGAAAATAATATAATTAGGTTTCTTCTAGAATATGGATGGCAAATGTTGAATCTGTGTATTTTCTTCATAACATCATTGAATGCTCATGAATGCAGTGGTTACATTTTTTACCTGTCTGACCAATGTATGTTCTCATGATTTCAAGATTTTATGAGTTACTTTCAACATCCCTGATGAACCTTATTCCCAATGTGCTATTTGTTCTATATCATGTAACTCTCAAGTCCTGTTCTTGTATAAAATGGAGCTATTTATTTATGCTGATAAAAAATGAGACACAAATAATTTTTTGTAGAGATCAACGAAAATAATATAATTGGGTATCTTCTAGAATATGAATGGCAAATGTTAAATCTGTGTATTTTCTTCATAACATCATTGAATGCTCATGAATGCAGTGGTTACATTTTTTACCTGTCTGACCAATGTATGTTCTCATGATTTCTAGATTTTATGAGCTACTTTCAACATTCCTGATGAACCTTATTCCCAATGTGCTATTTGTTCTATATCATGTAACTCTCAAGTCCTGTTTTTGTATAAAATGGAGCTATTTTTTTATGCTGATCAAAAATGAGACACAAATAATTTTTTGTAGAGGTCAACGAAAATAATATAATTAGGTATCTTCTAGATCTAGAATATGGATGGCAAATGTTAAATCTGTGTATTTTCTTCATAACATCATTCAATGCTCATAAATGCAGTGGTTACATTTTTCACCTGTCTGACCAATGTATGTTCTCATGGTTTCTAGATTTTATGAGCTACTTTCAACATTCCTGATGAACCTTATTCCCAATGTGCTATTTGTTCTATAATAATAATAATAATAATGTTTATTTAGAAAAATAGTTCGACAGCAACAATAGGTGGGTACATTGATCAGATATTATATTAACGTAGTGATCCATCACTGAAAAAATTGGGGTGAAGTGAGCCACAAAAACCGAAGTTGCGCGTGGTACTGTCCACAATCTTCAGTGAGTTTGTGAGATCGTGATGTGTTTAAAAATTATATTGTATTATATAATACCTATTCACCTAATGAATTGAGTGTGATGGATAAATAAATAAACATAGATAGCCCACAAAAACCGAAGTTGTACGTGGGATTTTACTTTTCAAGAGTTAATAATTAGAATCTATAATGAAAACATGACATAACAAAATGATAGGTAGTGGGAATGATAACAATGATAATAGCATTTATAGTAATGATGATAATAATGTTAATAATAATGATAATATATATATATATATATAATGATAATATATCATGTAACTCTCAAGTCCTGTTTTTGTATAAAATGGAGCTATTTTTTCATGCTGATCAAAAATGAGACACAAATAATTTTTTGTAGAGGTCAACAAAAATAATATAATTAGATATCTTCTAGAATATGGATGGCAAATGTTAAATCTGTGTATTTTCTTCATAACATCATTCAATGCTCATGAATGCAGTGGTTACATTTTTTACCTGTCTGACCAATGTATGTTCTCATGATTTCTAGATTTTATGAGCTACTTTCAACATCCCTGATGAACCTTATTCCCAATGTGCTATTTGTTCTATATCATGTAACTCTCAAGTCCTGTTTTTGTATAAAATGGAGCTATTTTTTTATGCTGATCAAAAATGAGACACAAATAATTTTTTGTAGAGGTCAACGAAAATAATACAATTAGGTATCTTCTAGAATATGGATAGCAAATGTTGAATCTGTGTATTTCCTTCATAACATCATTGAATGCTCATGAATGCAGTGGTTACATTTTTTACCTGTCTGACCAATGTATGTTCTCATGATTTCTAGATTTTATGAGCTACTTTCAACATTCCTGATGAACCTTATTCACAATGTGCTATTTGTTCTATATCATGTAACTCTCAAGTTCTGTTTTTTAATAAAATGGAGCTATTTTTTATGCTGATCAAAAATGAGACACAAATAATTTTTTGTAGAGGTCAACGGAAATAATATAATTAGGTATCTTCTAGAATATGGATGGCAAATGTTAAATCTGTGCATTTTCTTCATTAACATCATTAAATGCTCATGAATGCAGTGGTTACTTTTTTCACCTGTCTGACCAATGTATGTTCTCATGATTTCTAGATTTTATGAGTTACTTTCAATATTCTTGATGAACCTTATTCCCAATGTGCTATTTGTTCTATATCATGTAACTCTCAAGTTCTGTTTTTGTATAAAATGGAGCTATTTTTTTATGCTGATCAAAAATAAGGCACAAATCTACAATTTTTTCATTTGTATTTGAAGGTTGGATGAACTTATTTATGGAAAAAATATTTCTTGAAGTTGCTAGTAGGCTCATAATGGTGATTCTCAATATACAATTCAAATCTATAGATATTTCTATAAAGGTGTGAGCTCTATTTTGACTCAAATGGTGTTAAATTTATTGATATGTGAAAAAACCAGTGATGATTCCCAGTCCAATTTTCAGATAACATTTACCTTGAACGAATAGACCCCTTCAACCAGTTTATCCAGATGCAATTGCCCCCCATTCTGTTCTTTCACAGCCTTACTACCATCTGGCTGATGCAGGGAAGTCCATTCAAATTGATACTTGTCATCTTGGCCATCTACTGAGGCCACCAAAGTGACCTCATTGGAGGGCAACCTGACCTCAGCTGATTCAGCTTTCACATTCAGGTGTCTTGGAGTGACTGGTATAGTGTTATTGTCAACTTTCAGAATACGCTCAGTCAACAAGGGAATTACAGGGCGAATAGAAGCATCATCCAAGAGAACAGAAAAACATACACCATCCTTGCGAATATAGTCCTCCAAACATTGACATACACCTATAATTTTAGTAGATATACTTTGTTATGGGTGATTTTCAAGGAGTTATTACCAGCTCTTGATTTGGCATGCTGAGGGACACATTCTTCATTGGGTAAACAAGCATTTTCTATTCCAACTTCACAATAAGAGCTCCTCTCAAATGATTCTTCCCTCATTAAATCTTTTACAGCATCCTCAAATCTATTTCTATCATTTAGTATGCTGTATATTTCTTTGTCCTGCTCATTATCTGGAAATTATCAAAATTAGTTTCTTGAGAACTCCAGTTGGATGTTTCTGGTTCCTAACCTCCTGGCCCCTGGAGAATATCTTCCCAACTTTGATCATCTGTGGGTTTCACTAAGATTAAATAAAAGTTATCTGATGTAGCAGTATTTGCAGTGGGAGTAGGCATACAAAGTTCATTGCTATTGCATGTAATATGGTAACATTTATCATTGTGCATAAAAGCAACATTACAGGAGTCTTTTGAGCAGCATTTCAATACACAACTTTTCAGTTTAGTTATGTCCTTCATTTCTTCATATGTTCCTGCAAGTTATATGATGAATTAATGGAAAATCCAGCTAGAAAATCAATGAGTCTCTTACCTGCAGAAATATTTCCTTTGGGGATACATCCTTTGAACGTCCTACCAAACAGTCTTGGACACTGTTCTCTTATGCTATTTGGATTATGAAAAAGGTGGCAACATACTAAACATGATGATAATATTATTATGCCAAAGGAGAGTTTGGCATCCATAATTCTGTAAATCACTAATTATATGAAATCACATGATAACAAAAATATGATAAGAGTTACCTATGATTAATATCTATAGATGTTTTTCAAACTTATTTTTCCTTAGGAAATTAATGTTGTGATTCAAGAAATCTTCTATTCATATGAAAAATAAAAATGACATAACTACATGGATGACACAACCACTGACACAACACACAAAAAATCCAAGGTCTCATCATGGTCTCATCACGATACATTTGACAGTAGACAGTTGAATATATCCATAAACGTCAAATCGTGACAGAAACAGCTACAACACACACCTACGTGAAGTGGGCTGCCAGAATTTCCGAACTTTCCCAATCGACCAGTGGCACACGTTTCCCCCCTTTTTGGGTAGGGAATATCGAAATTCCTCAACTGCTTTTGTTTTCGATGATGCGATGTATAAAGCACTGCACAGCTTTTGGGTCTCGAATCTGTAGAATAATCATTCCTTACCAAATCATAGGTATGGAAGACTAAAACTTCAAAAATATTTTATTTTCGATACTTTGTCAAAAAACTGCTCAGCTGCTCTTGGGTCAGGACGATAGGTAATCATGTGTAGAATCATGCTATCAGAAAATAATTCCTTGCCAAATCGTATGGTAGACTCCACACGAAAAACACAGATTTTTCGAAAATATTTTTTTTTCCATACTTTCGCAAAAAAACTGCTTAGCTGCTTTTGAGTCAGGAAGTAATTCCTTGCCAAATCGTTTGGTACTCTTATACATCGCATCATCGCAAACAAAAACAGTTGAGGAATTTCGATATTCCCTACCCAAAAAGGGGGGAAACGTGTGCCACTGGTCGATCGGGAAAGTTCGGAAATTCTGGCAGCCAGCTCTGGCAGCCCACTTCACGTAGGTTACATTTGACAGCATGTTAGTAGAAATATTCTTTGACATAAACATCAAATCGTCAAAGGCAAAGGACCCAATCACTCAAACAAGAGACAGGCTGGGTGTTTTGAATTATTATAAAGTGTGAAGTGAAGTCTTTCCAATCATGGTAAATTTTTAAATTTATCAACAATTTGAGAAATACAAGTATATTATACTATTCACTATCCTATTTTTCAGCCTTGAAAAATGTTGAAATAGACTTGTATGCTGAATTTATCACTGGAAATCCAACAACTGAAATACTGTATCAATAATTATAGACAAAAGTACAAGAAATGGCATTCAATTACGCAAATATTCATTCAAATAGCAACAAACGGCATAATGCTGTTCCACCACCAACAACTGGTGGTTTAAGTAAACAAGGATACTCTACTATGAATGCTATCAGTCAGAATGCCCTTTCAGCAGCCTGGGGCGGTAGCAGCCGTAAAAGAGCAGCCACAGAAGATGAGTAAGTTAGTTCTCTAGTTATATTACTATCAATAGAGTACAGATCCCCATCAGTCACCATATACAAAACCCTGACCTCTTATTTACAAGGTACTTTGAAGATGATGAAGAAGAACTGGTGCCAGATTTGGCATATATTCCAGCACCTGGGAGCCCTACTAGAATTGAAATGGATAGGAAGAAGCAAATGGAAGAGGAAGAAGATGATCCCCTAGATGCCTATATGGCTGGCCTTGAAAAACAAGTAATATATTTATAATAGTTGAAACATTGAAGTTATGATTTTGAACATTGAAAAGTATAGTTGAAGCTGAACTCAGTTCATGAATTTCAAGATGAATTTGCTCAGGACTTACTTGAAGTTTTACATGGAATGTAAAAGTCAAGAATGCCATCCTAAACATTCTTGATTTTTCCATTCCATGAATCCCAAAATATGACTTATGAATTATTAATTCATTTACAGGCAGTACACTCCTTAAAAGGGAGTAAAATGGCTTTCTAGCTACAACTATAATGAGGAAATGATTGTATGTTGGAAAAAACAAACAGCTCAAATTGTATTACACATCACATCAATCTATCAAATGTTTTCAAATGTAGGGTGGTAGGTACTCAGTTGGGTAAAGTTCAGAGTAAAGAAGATGCAACATCATCAGGACCAGGAAACAAATGTATTGTTTTATTAAATTCAATCTCCAGGAATTCATTTTCTAAAAAATAATAATTGACTGTGATCTTGATATATTTTCAATACTTGGGTCTGGAAAGTGGTGGAATTGATGCTGTTACTAAGGTAAATTAATGCTGTAAAATCAGGCAGCCAGTGATTGTATTCAAAAAATGATTTCACATCAATTTCAGTGAAATATATTTGTCAGCAATTCATTTTTCAAACTAATATGATGTAAATTTTCTTGATAGTTGGGTGTAGACCAAAAGATGAAAAGGAATTTTCCACCCCAAACATTCATGATGTTTCACAAACAATACAAAAATACTAGAGATCCCCTTTTGTGTGATCCAAAGATAGAAAAGTTTCAGTTTCAATGGACTCAACCAATAAAAATAGACAGTTTTAATTGAAAGATGTGGATTGTGATACTCTTTCTGCTGAAATGAAATACTGTAGATTTTATTCCAAAAATAATTATATAAAAATTGAAAATATAATTGTGAATAACTGACAATTGATAGCTCACTAGAATAGAAAATATGTTCTGAATTTCAGCATAGGTGATCTCATCTCTCTTAATGCTGAATTATCTCCCATCATATGTTCCCAAACTCTTGTGCTATTGCTTCGTCGTGTTTGCCCAATATACAGGTTGTTTAAACTGTAGTATCAAGATTTCAGGATCTCATTTCCCTGATCAAAATAATATTTTTATTTTTTTTTTCTATCAAAATGTATCCGCAAATGCTTCACTACCGATCTACAGAGCGTTAATATTTTTAGAGGTTTCTCTGTTTTCCTTTATAGCTCTTCTAGTTTTGGAGATATTCAGATCAAATTTGAAACATAGGTTGCATTTTAGGGTTCACAATGTTCACATCATAATATGGTGTGCTGAGTGATTGTAAGAATCTACATAGATATTTTTTCAGGGGTCAGGCCCTTTTTTGCTCTATAAACTTTTTTGTGGTGCTCCACTAGTTGAAATTGAAATATAAAATGAGCTCTATGTTCTGTTTATAAACTTTTTGCATATGCCATTTTTATCCAGAAAAAAATCAATTTTTATAGTTTGCTAGATTGAATTGAAATTTTTAACAAAAAGAAGAAAATCTAGTGTAGAAGTCCATAGCTCAAATTAGAGTAAACAATATAAAGATAATGATACAGATTAAAAATACAGATTATAGAAAAAAATATAATGCAGGTACGTATTGATAGAGAATTCATCTATATCAATAATCAAGCCAGTAAAGCCTCATGATCAGCTTGAAAATATTCTTACAGGGAGTAGCAGCAATATTCGAGGAGATATTGCTTTATATCATTCTAAAATTTTAGGAAATGAAGAATTTTGATTCTTTATTGAGGCAATATCCCCGTATGAAACAGACTCATTCTATACTCCCCCTTTTCTTTGGTTTTCTAGCTATATTTATGAAATTTGGAACATCGTGTATCCTCTTTAGAGGACACTTTCTCACATTTCAGGAAATTTTGTTTGTCTAATTCTCTTGGAAATGACATCAACTTTCGATTTTAAAATGGAATAACTTGTATTTTATTCCATAATCGGTTAGAGGTTATAATAACGAATTCAACAACACTGGGTTTCATTAGGTTATTTCAAGCGATTATGAAGACATTCACATTCAAAGTTTCCCTAAGCTCAATGGGTGTGACGGCGCAATATCGAATCTTCTTTCTCTCACACTGATTTAGCGTATGGAAACTTCTAACGCGAATATCTTCCTAATCGTTTGTAATCACCCAATCAAACCCGGTATTGTCAAATTCGTTATAATAATCTCTAACCGATTGTGGAATGAAATATTCATCTGGTAATCGAAAGTTAATGCCATTTCCAGGAAATCCGGAAGATGAAAAAAAAAACAATCCAAAAATGTGAGATAGTGCCCTATAGTGAGCATATTCGATGTTCCAAATTTCGGAAATATTGCTAAGAAAACGAAGGAAAAAAGAGGATATACCATCAGTCAGTATCACCCGGTATTGTACATGTTGTAATACAAAGAGTTTTTCTGAGATACTGTAAGTCTAAACCGAGTATTACGTATCTTCATCTCATGCATCGACATTATGTCAGCGTAGCCTTGTGGTAGAAGTTTCAGTTTTTATCCACGTTGGATTGCCGGTAGGTGGGTTCGATTCCCACCACGACCGCAGAAATTTTTCTGATGGCCTCTAAGAAAGTGTTTGGGATCACACGGACCAAAATTAGTTCAACTAAAAAATAATGTAATAGAAAATGGCTGTTTCCCAGAAAAACTTAAATTATCCAAAATAATACCTGTATACATATAAAAAAGGGGAACATGACATTCTACTAAACTCATATCCCACGGGAAGAAAGTAACAAACCTATGTCAATGGGGAAATGAGTGATGAAGAAAGCGTTGAAGTAGGAATAGCTCAAGAGTCAGTCACTACAATATCTATTACATGTACAAAGTCTAAAATATGCAGGATTAAGAGTAAAGTACTACAGCTCTTATTTTCTCAGGAGTAAATAAAATCGAGCTTGAACAAAACATAAACAGTGATCTTGAAAGGTACTATCAGTGGCTGTGCTACAATAAATTAACTATAAATGTTTACATGGTGCTACATCAAGTGGGGAAAAACAGGTAAATCCTAAATTAAGAATAAATGACTGTTTACTGAAAAAAATTCAACATGGAATGCCCATATAGACAGTATACTAAAAAAAGTAGCCCCAATGCTGGGTGCAATACGACGATGCAACCATATGCTAAGCAAAAATGCTAGATATCTCTTATATAATGGTTTTATTGAACTCCATATAAGATATCTTATTCCATGATATGGAAACGCTAGTGTTGAAATGATAAACAAAGTGCAGAGACTACAACATGAAGCAATAAAAACCATATTTGCAAAAAACTTCAATACATCAAGTGGCACTTCATTTTATATAAAGAATACCCATTTTTCGAACTAGATAAGCTCAAAAACTTTGAACAAACTAAACTTATTTATAAAATACAGAATAAACTAATTTAAACCAATGTGCAACTAAAACAAAATGAAAACTATCATAATTATATCCGAACGAACTAAAGAAAGACTTAAAAATTACTTTACAAGGACAAAAAAAGGACAGGGTTCTCCTATTTATCGAAGTGTATGTATGCACATTCATATAATGCTGTACCAGAGACAGTTTTTGAAGGATATGCGAAAGTTGTGTGCCATAACCTCAAGAAATTTTTCAATGAACAGAGCATCCTTAACAGAGCCAATAATTGATTGATCAGTACTGTCAATACCTAAATCAGATTTATTATTATTGAATCTGTTACTATACACTGAAAGCTAAGGCCTCTGTGCCAGATTTATTATAATCTGATTAGAGGTCAGAAATAAATGTTTAAAAAAATGGTAAGACCCCCGTCATTCCTTGCTCGCACAAGTCTTTTGAATACTATTGAGGGTTGCTCGTAAGGGGGCAACCAAGTGATGGATGAGAACAATTTTAGAACAATTAGAACCATGTCTAGTGTCATGGTAATGAATATCAAATATCACTATGAGTTCTGAGTATGTTGGATTGTTTGTAAACCTCTTGAGGTGTGTTATTATGGATAAACAAAGTTGGTTATGGCAATAAGGGTTTACAATGTTCTTTATAAAGTTAAATACACTCAAAGTTTTTAAAATATTCTCAAGGATTTGAATACATTCATGTTACTTGAGTATATTTGACGTTTTTAACCACCTTGTGTGATGTAGATTTCAGTAATTTAGGCAGTTTCCATAGCAAAAGTATGAAAATATAAATAGTTTTTTGTACTGCACTAGGAAGGCGTCAATTTGTCAAAACCCGACATCAATAGAAATGGATGAAGTCTGATTATCATTTATTTCCACTTGATTTCTTTCGGATTTCTATCCTTGTCTCTGAAATGAATTCACCATTCACTATATTTGAATGTTGGATGTGGAGATCTCTGATTCTGAGAAGCTAAAATCCACAGGATGTTCCATTTGAGAAGATGATGGCCGTAAGTCAGAATCTAAATATTTGATTATTCTCGGATAGTATTTAAATACTCCTAAGTATTCAAATAGTTCCACAATATTTGAATAGTTTACGATTATTTAAATACTTCTGAAATATTTAAATACTTTTTTGAATATTCAAATACTCCGAAAGTATTCAAATACTCCAGACATATTTGAATACTTTGCGAATCTATTTGCAAATACTAAGTTATAAATATATTCCAACAAATATTTGTAAGTATAAATATATTCCGAAAAGTATCTAAGTACTGGAAAGTATTTGTAAATACACATAATGTTTTCTGTTTGTTACCTAAAAGATTATGAATAGTATTTGTAACAGTTACGTTGAGCCGTATTAGGTAGATTGTCCCTTCCAGGTACAGAAACAAACCCAACAAGTACCTGTCGCTCCCTCCCAACAAGCCGGCATCCGCAACGACCTCGAAGAGGAGGACGTCGAGGAGTCCTACTACCGCTACATGGAGGAGAACCCGAACGCCGGTCTACTTCCGGTAGATGACGACAATCCCGATTTGGAGTACGACGAGGACGGCAATCCGATAGCACCGGACAAGAAGAAGATCATTGATCCGCTGCCGCCCATAGATCACTCAGAGATCGAGTACGAGCCGTTCAGGAAGGTGTTTTATGAGGAGCATCCGGAGATTGCGGCTTTGAACGGAGAACAGGTAAATCAACTCGATTTTTTCCGGCATTTTCTCAGAAAAGTGTCAACTTCCCGGACGGACGGATTTTCTTCAAAAAAGTATGTGTTTCCTATGTGTGTGAAGCACTTAAATGGTTTGAAGATTACCTGAATGATAGATCTCAACAAGTGAAAATTAACAACTATGTGTCACAGAAGCAGAAGGTTGAATTTGGAGTACCACAAGGGTCGGTACTCTGCCCAATTTTGTTCATCACATACATCAATGATATTGTGAATTGCTTTGATGAAGAAACAACAGTTAACTTATTTGCCGATGATACGGTAATCTCAGTATCTGGGAAATCAGTAGATGAGGTATGCAATATGATGCAAAATGAATTGATAAAATTTGAAAAATGGTTAGAAGATAACTTCTTGTTTGTGAATACGAAAAAAACAAAAGTAATGCTAATTGGAACAAATGTAGACTCAAAAACAGTTACTAAGCTTGAATTATTCAATGAAGAACTGGAGTATGTTTCTGAATGTAAATATCTGGGATTAATTATTGATAGCAAGTTAAAGTTTGATAAACATATTAGGTATACACTCGATAAAATTAGTAAGAGGATAAATTACTTTTATAGGATTAGTGAGAGCTTGTCGATGTTTTCCAGAGTTACGGTATATAAGGCCATTATAGCTCCCCTCTTTGAATACTGCCCCATCATTGTTTATTATTGTAACGATGGAAAAAAAAAGAATTACAGATACAACAGAATAGAGCTATGAGAATTATATTGAGAGTAAATAAGTATACCTCAACAAATGCGATGCTAGAATGCCTACATTTCTTGAGTATAAATCAAAGACTGGTCTTTCATGTTGTACTATTTATTTACAAAATATTGCACAAAATGCTTCCAAGGTATATGTCAGATAGAATCAAGTTTGTTAATGAAATTCATAAATACAACACTAGAACGGCTTCCAATATATATGTGGTAGCTGTGAAGAAGACATCAACAAAGCAGTCAATATTTTATAATGGACTAGTGCTGTATAATAATTTACCATTGTATATAAGATCAATTAATATGTTCAATGAGTTCAGAAGAAAGGCTGTGGAATATGTGAAAGAAAAGTATTAGGGAATGAGAAATAATTTATAAATATTTGTTTGAATGAAATAAGGTTTTTGTTTTGTATATGTGTATGTATGTGTGTGTATGTATGTGTGTGTATGTATGTGTATATATGTATATTATATTAGATTTAAATATTGTATTGTTGTTGTGAAATGAGTAGCAGAATATTGCTAAATAAACTACTACTACTACTACTACGACCAATCTCGTTCTAAATGAAAACCTAGCAGGAGACGTTTAATATTTTGTGTTCATTGGAGAATATCCAAAAATTGCCCTAATCAACGATATTTTCAGTAAACCAGTGACCTCTATATCATATCGTGTTATTTATTTGTTATGCTTACCCTACTAAGATTCCTGTCAACATTCTCCTTTTTGTTGTGCTTGTAAACAATAATTTCTCACGTTGAAACATCTCAAGAATGACCATTGTTCATACTTACACATACAGTTCAATGAGAGCAGAAGGTGCAATGAAGAATTAAATCATTGTTAATGCAATGATAAAATAGCTCAACTCATTGATGCATCTGTGGTGTGATGAAACATTTCTGTTTGCACTCCATTTGAAATGATAGCATGCAAGCTTAGAATAGAAAGGAACTGCCCAATCACACCTACATATATGTACGAATAATCATGAGTGATGAGCAGAAACACATCGGTGTTTCACACAGGTGATCCAGCGAAAAGAATCATAATGAAGAAATATATGAATGTAACATTGAGGAAGAATATGCCATAAAGATTATTATAACTATTAGATCAAAATGAAGAACTTCACATCTGAAATGAGGATATATGATGCTGCTAGTTCCATACTCGGGCAAAAAGATTTACTTGTGACGCCTTATCCGAGGTCAATAAGCCATCTGCCAATATCAAAAACTTCAGAAATGGACAAGGAGAGGATCATTGATCCACTGCCGTAAAGTCAATTAATCAACTTAATTCCCAAGAAACAGCATTTGTTCATAGCAGGGAACATGGTGAATCCATAGATATATTCAACAAAATAAATAATAGAGTAAAATAAGACTGCAGCATTGAACGGAGAGAACAGGTAGTCGAAATTAAAATTGGAAGTTGGTGAGTCCTACTACCGCTAGATGGAGAAGAACCCGAACGCCGGTCTACTTCCGGTAGATGACGACAATCCCGATTTGGAGTACGACGAGGACGACAATCCGATAGCACCGGACGAGAAGAAGATTATTGATCCGCTGCCGCCGATAGATCACTCAGAGATCGAGTACGAGCCGTTCAGGAAGGTGTTTTATGAGGAGCATCCGGAGATTGCGGCTTTGAACGGAGAACAGGTAAATTAACTCGATTTCTTCGGCATTTTCTCAGAAAAGTGTAAACTTCCCGGACGGACGGATTTTCTTCAAAAAAGTATGTGTTTCCTATGTGTGTGAAGCACTTAAATGGTTTGAAGATTACCTGAATGATAGATCTCAACAAGTGAAAATTAACAACTATGTGTCACAGAAGCAGAAGGTTGAATTTGGAGTACCACAAGGGTCGGTACTCGGCCCAATTTTGTTCATCACATACATCAATGATATTGTGAATTGCTTTGATGAAGAAACAACAGTTAACTTATTTGCCGATGATACGGTAATCTCAGTATCTGGGAAATCAGTAGATGAGGTATGCAATACGATGCAAAATGAATTGATAAAATTTGAAAAATGGTTAGAAGATAACTTCTTGTTTGTGAATACGAAAAAAACAAAAGTAATGCTATTTGGAACAAATGTAGACTCAAAAACAGTTACTAAGCTTGAATTATTCAATGAAGAACTGGAGTATGTTTCTGAATGTAAATATCTGGGATTAATTATTGATAGCAAGTTAAAGTTTGATAAACATATTAGGTATACACTCGATAAAATTAGTAAGAGGATAAATTACTTTTATAGGATTAGTGAGAGCTTGTCGATGTTTTCCAGAGTTACGGTATATAAGGCCATTATAGCTCCCCTTTTTGAATACTGCCCCACCATTGTTTATTATTGTAACGATGGGGAAAGAAAAGAATTACAGATACAACATAATAGAGCTATGAGAATTATATTGAGAGTAAATAAGTATACCTCAACAAATGCGATGCTAGAATGCCTACATTTCATGAGTATAAATCAAAGACTGGTCTTTAATGTTGTACTATTTATTTACAAAATATTGCACAAAATGCTTCCAACGTATATGTCAGATAGAATCAAGTTTGTTAATGAAATTCATAAATACAACACTAGAACGGCTTCCAATATATATGTGGGAGCTGTGAAGAAGACATCAACAAAGCAGTCAATATTTTATAATGGACTAGTGCTGTATAATAATTTACCATTGTATATAAGATCAATTAATATGTTCAATGAGTTCAGAAGAAAGGCTGTGGAATATGTGAAAGAAAAGTATTAGGGAATGAGAAATAATTTATAAATATTTGTTTGAATGAAATAAGGTTTTTGTAATCATTGTATATATATATATATGTGTGTGTATATATATGTGTATGTATGTGTGTGTATGTATGTGTATATATGTATATTATATTAGATTTAAATATTGTATTGTTGTTGTGAAATGAGTAGCAGAATATTGCTAAATAAACTACTACTACTACTACTACTACGACCAATCTCGTTCTAAATGAAAACCTAGCAGGAGACGTTTAATATTTTGTGTTCATTGGAGAATATCCAAAAATTGCCTTAATCATTTTCAGTAAACCAGTGACCTCTATATCATATCGTGTTATTTATTTGTTATGCTTACCCTACTAAGATTCCTGTCAACATTCTCCTTTTTGTTGTGCTTGTAAACAATAATTTCTCACGTTGGACCATCTCAAGAATGACCATCTCAAGAATGACCATTGTTCATACTGACACATACAGTTCAATGAGAGCAGAAGGTGCAATAAAGAATTAAATCATTGTTAATGCAATGATAAAATAGCTCAACTCATTGATGCATCTGTGGTGTGATGAAACATTTCTGTACGCACTCCATTTGAAATGATAGCATGCAAGCTTAGAATAGAAAGGAACTGCCCAATCACACCTACATATATGTAGATAGTTTGTCAACTCAGAAACGAAAAATCATGAGTGATGAGTAGAAACACATTGGTGTTTCACACATGTGATCCAGCGAAAAGAATCATAGAAAGAAATATATGAATGTAACATTGAGGAAGAATATGCCATAAAGATTATTATAACTATTAGATCAAAATGAAGAACTTCACATCTGAAATGAGGATATATGATGCTGCTAGTTCCATACTCGGGCAAAAAGATTTACTTGTGACGCCTTATCCGAGGTCAATAAGCCATCTAATGGCCCAATATCAAAAACTTCAGAAATAAGAGGACGGCAACGCGATAGCGTCGGACAAGAAGAGGATCATTGATCCGGATTTTCTTCAAAAAAGTATGTGTTTCCAGAGCAATCTCGTTGTTCTAAATGAAAACCTAACAGGAGAGGTTTAATATTTTGTGTTCATTAGAGAATATCTAAAAAATCGACGATATTTTCTGTAAACCAGTGACCTCTATATCAAATTGAGTTATTTATTTGTTATCCTAACCCTAGAAATTATTCATATTCCTGTCAAGATTAACTTTTTTGTTATGTTTGTAAACAATAATTTACATTTCAAGTACGACCATTGTTCATACATATCGAGATACATATACATACAGTTTAATGAGAGCTGAATTCAGCGGCAACGACGTCCCGAAACCCGTATTTTCTTCTGCCCACTTTGTCTTCTACAAAATGCTGAAAGCCATCATATCAGGGTGGAGTAGAGACTCCACTCACTCCATAATTTGTACGACGATGACCGTATATGAAATGAGATATCGACGACTGGCTTGTTCTGATGCTAATGAATATGTACCCGTTTCAATCGAACCGCATTCTGATGACAAATTCGATGAATCTCCAGTTCGTGATATGGCATTCCTAGGCGTTACATTCATGGTGATTTGAACTTCGTCGCTATCAGTATAGCAATTATTGTTGTTTGCTTGAACTGCTTGTTGGTACCTGTGATAGCTCCATCTGCTTTTGGTATTCACTGTTACTCCAGATAGTCTTGAGTAATGCTATCCTTTGTGAAGAGCTTGGCAGTCTTGAAGGTTTGATTTGAACAGATCCGGCTCGAAGGACCAATATGTTCTATGCTTGATAGATGTATTTGTATGGTTTTATGATATATCATAATGAAATGAAGGTTGGTATTAGAATTGCAATTCGTATTGCTATCCCTCTCTCTTTATCTTGTTTCAATAACACGTCGGCATGTTAACAACAAAGGGAAATCTCTTATACTGTATAGGGTAATACAAGTACCGAACTATTATATAAGGTTATACAAGTACTAAATAATTGTTTACTGCTTCCTTATGCCAGAAGTTGTTTCTGACTGGTAGTCGTATTTTCTATAACCGAGTGAATGAATAAACTGAATGATTTTGTGTCAGGTGTCAGAGTTGCGAAAGACGTTCGACCTGACCGTCACCGGTAACGACGTTCCGAAACCGGTTTCTTCGTTTGCCCATTTCGGCTTCGACGACAAGATGTTGAAGGCCATCATCAGGGCGGAATACACGACGCCGACGCCCATTCAGACACAGGCTGTGCCCTGTGCCCTCCTCGGCAGGGACGTGCTGGGCATCGCCCACACAGGTAATGTATGCAGAAACGTCAAAACAGAAGCACACAAAAATGTATAGTCATAGTCGGCTCTATAACAAGCCGCAGTGAGAAAAATGCAACACCGCATCACCGTTATCCGAAAGGCTTTGACCTTTGAGTCTTTGACTGTGTGGGTAACACCAGAGCTACTCCAGAGTAAGAAAAATAGACAGGAATGCGTTCTTTTCCGTTAGTGCTTGAAGCCCCTGTGCTTCACCGTGCTACAACATCTACCTTCCCCTACCCCTCTGTCACTGTCAAATAGCCAGCTAGGTTTGGTTATGTTCAATGATTTTTTTCTATTTTCATCATCAGTTATTATCAACATAGATTGGTTACATTTCAATATTTTCAAAAGGTAAACCATAAGAGCGCATGCGCAGTGGCGTTCATTGTAAATGTTCACTAACATGCGTTCTATCAATTTCTTGTTTAGGTAGCGGTAAGACTGCGGCCTTCCTATGGCTAAGGTTAAAGCGGGCTATGGTCAAGTACATCAAAGAACTCTAGTTTCAACTATTCCACCTCGAGAATTTCGCTTTCCTGTTTTACTCCATTCATTCATTTTGTTTTTTTTAAGACAATGTGTTACCATGAACCACTATCAATTTCTTGTTTAGGTAGCGGTAAGACTGCGGCCTTCCTATGGCCCTTGATGACGCACGTGGCCGCTCAAAAATCGGTGGAAGAGGGAGAAGGTCCGATCGCTCTCATCTTGGCCCCCACTCGCGAATTGGCCATACAGATCTACAACGAAGCCAAGAAGTTCGCCAAAGTGTACGACCTGAAAGTGATATGCGCCTATGGCGGTGGATCCAAATGGGAGCAGAGTTTGGTGAGATTTTTGTTCCTACATTCATAATGTGTTTTTTTTTTCATAACAATAAATAAGACCCTGCTTTCTCCAACATTCTCCAACAGTGTGTTACATTCCGCGCGTATTCTAGGGTCGCTTGATGGAAATTGACGTTAAAGTCATCTTAACAGGGTACGGACAGATCATAGCTCCATTCTTTTTTAATGATCTAGAGACTAGTTTTGTCTACTGGCATCCCTGAAATTGCTGTCACGTCACATCCATGGGCGCTACAGAAAATCATTCAAAATTTTAATAATATGTATGTACAGGGTATTTACTTGTTGAGGAAGATCAAATGGCAAACAAGTTTTGTAATGATGATCCGATTCTATTCAAAATTGATATCTGGGGGTTTTCGGGGTTGGAGATGATGATTGTTTCGTCAAAATTGGAAAATCCAAGATGACGGATCCAATATGGCGAAAGACATTAGTTTATATAATTATTACTCTACCACAAATAGAAAATATGTAGGATGCAAGAGTGAAAATAACGTGCCTATAAGTTATACTGCGTATACCTACTTGTTTGTTACTTTCATCAATAAATTATTTGAAAATGACTTTTTATTTAAGGGAGACGGAAGAATAATATGTATAACATGGGGGTGAAGTATATTCTATTCTTTCACATTTTACGTATTACTTTTTATCAGCCTACTTTTAGTTTTATACATAGTGTGATTAGTCACTCCATGAATTCTTCGAGTTGGATTTCTGAAAATATTAGCACACATTACATGAGTACAGTAGTTTAGATACTCACATCGAGGTTTTCACCATTTCTCAATCATAACGCTCAGCTCATTCAGCTCATAGATAAACTACTGCTCTGTTTGAAATCAGAATTCATTCAGTTAATTCAGTCAACCCTGGTATACAGTCTAAGAACAGTCTCTTTTGGTGAAATTCATTAAGCTTTCGGTACAATTTATATGTTCCCTACCTCGCAAAGATTATGCTGGAGTAGTAAACTCTGAAACAAGAGGATTTTTCATCTATATCTTGGTACAGTTGAATCAGGAATTCCATATGGAAATTACGTATGATACGCCAGTGACCTCAATATAACCTAGAAAACAACAAATGTCAAAAATTTAGTGTTTATCCCCAGAGTTGAATAAGGATGGAACTATATAACTGTTTCACAAACACTTTAAAGTGAAAGGAGACGAGGATCTGTCCGAATATCTGTCAGTCTGATTCTGTGATTTGATTTTGAAAAAATGCGAACTTAGTGGTTGTTTATTAGTTATTTATTTAACCGCGAAGTGAAATATAAGATGAATTGACTTGCAGTTCTTCCACTCCATTCTGTAGATATATTCTGATATCTGCAAGGAGCAAGAAAAATCAATGAATTGGTCTATTTTTAACAGTGCGCATCCAATTTGCAGGGTTGGCAAATATCATGATATTTATATATATATAAAAATATCATAATATCGGATATATATCCGATATATATCAGAAATTTCGATTTTGTTCCTAGGCTGATATGCCAAAAAAACACAATATAAAATACCTTTATTTTGGTAAAAACAAACTTCAGTTTAATTCTCGGTTTAATTTGAAATAACAAAACACGAAACAAAAAATAATATTTTTCCGAAAATATGTAATATATGGTAATATAAAAAACTTGTCGTTTGATAAATTTTTAAGGATTGCAAAACCGAGAAAGAGGAATATAATCATCATTATCAATATTATCATCTTCACTCAAGGCAACTAATTCATCATTCGACGAGATCCAGTCCAAGCTTTTGGCTTTTTTATCTGTATTTGGGTTTAAACATTTAAGAATAAATACTAGCTTACTGGCTTTTTCGTTGCCTAGACGATTTCTCAATTTTGATTGAACTATTCCAAAACTCGAAAAAATTCTTTCTAAACCAGCTGTTGCCGCTACTGCACTGAATAACTGCTCACATAGTTGTGAGGAGAGTTCTTTTTTTGGCCATTCGGAGTCAGGAATTGCAACCGATTTCCACCAAATCATTGTATGCGTGAGGCCTGTTCGTTTGTATTGCTAAACTTGCTAAAGTTGATTCTTTTTCCATAGTTGTCTCTGTTCATGGCATGATGTAAACAAAGTAAGTTATAGAAAAAAATCGAGTTCAGCAGGTAGAGCAAGGACAAACGAACACGCCTGATGTACCATGTACCTAACAAGAAGTAAACAAAAACCGGGGATTCCCCGAGTTGTAAGTTATAACCACGAAACGCACTGTTGTCACGTATTCATTTTTAACGCAAAATATCAAGGATTTTTTGCTCCGGTATTTATTTTGTTAAAAAGAAGTAAATGATATATATCATGATATATATCAATCAATAAATATCAGATATATATCATGATACATATCATGATATATATCACTTGATATATATCGGCCAACCCTGATTTGAAGAATAGAATTTTTATTGAACTCGTAATTTGAAATCCAATTTTATTAAAAAAACTAACCAGTCCTCAAATTTCTACTTAATTAGAGCTGAATTAGGTGAACTATCGATGGATTTTGGTCCGTAGAATTATTTGTCAATTATTTTAGTTATTTTCGTGTGCTCATTACATTTTCACATACACAAATGTCAAATTTGATGCGATAAAAAGTAGACCACATTGTTCATTATTTTTCTACTCTTTCCAGTTATCAAAACATATGTAGCGATTTTGGAAAAGATTATATTTTCAGCCTGTGTTCAATCATTAGACTTTCGAAAAGAATACTGTCAGAGTATATCCGTGTTCAATACTTCATCTTATATTTTGTATATTATATATCTTTTCCCCCCGTATAATTTCATCATCATTAGTCATAGATTTCCCCCCGTATAATTCCATTATCATCATTAGTCATAGATAAATCATTTGTTCGGAAATTAATCGGTTAGCAGCATGATTAAACTTATTAGTAATTTATTCGGGACCAGGTGATAAGTCATCAAGCCAGTCTTATATTAGTTATCATCACGTACGGTCGTATTTTGTGATCGACATTTAAAAATACGCGAAAGGAATTATTTATCGTTCCAAACTGAGTGTTCCCTAAAAACTGAGTGATCGTATCGATTCGTATATAAGTTACGTTTGTGCCCCTAGCAGTTGTGGTTCGTAGAAGCACCTTCGTAGTTTTTGAAACCAATTTTGTATTGAATAACTCTTTTTCAACATTCAATTTACACACAATAAAAGATTGTCTTTTCTCGATGCGTTTTTAATGAAGTTGAAAATGCAGGCTACAAGTGACAAAAATGGAATGTTTTATCAAATACATATTTCCTTTTTATATAATGATCTAGAAGATAATTTACGGTATGAAAATATTCAGCAAAAATAGAAGATAAAGTCCGGTAGGAAGCTGACTCTGCATTCTGGATGTCATCGCATTGTCTCCATAGACAGGTCCGGCTTCAGGAACATAACTCCTCCCTTATTAAGATAAAGACTGAGGGTGGTTTGGTTGGTTAGGCTTCATGTCCTCCATGTGGATTGGTGGCTGGCTTTGAGATGAACGATAATATTGGCATAAATTGAATGGATAGCAATTTTTATAGTTGCTACTTGCTACTCCGTAGGAAATTATGATGCATACCAATATAGATGAGGATCTGTCCGTACCCTGTTAAGATGACTTCAACGTCAATTTCCATCAAGGGACCCTAGCGTATTCGTGTCTGACGATCCGCTTTCTCTAGGCGCTGAAAGAGGGCGGCGAAATCGTCGTAGCTACGCCGGGGCGAATCATCGATCACGTGAAGGGGGGCGGTACGAACTTGCGCAGAGTGACCTTCTTGGTGCTGGACGAGGCCGACAGGATGTTCGAGCTGGGATTCGAGCCGCAAGTGAGGTCCGTGTGCGATCACGTGAGGCCCGACAGGCAGGTGTTGCTGTTTTCGGCGACGTTCAGGAAGCGGATCGAAAGGTGAGATTGTTTTCTCTGATGCTATTTCATTGGTATCGGCTTGCCTCCCCAGATATGTTCTCTGCTAGCTAGTTTTCTCTCAAACAGGTCTCTTCATGTAGTGGTCGACGGAGTTTCATCTGACTCCCTTACCATAAATGCTGGTGTTCCGCAAGGATCAATTCTAGCACCAACATTATTTCTACTCTATATCAACGATTTGTTGGAAGCAACTTCATGTCCAGTACACAGCATCGCGGATGATAGTACCCTCCATACCGCATTCCTTCCAGGGCTCCAATACCAGCCAGGCAAATCAGAAACGAACGAGGAACGAATATTGACAACATAAATATAGATTTAGCAACAATTCTCGGATGGGGATCCAATAACTTGGTAGATTTCAATGCAAACAAAACACAACCATACCTTTGAAGACATCCATTTCGATGCTTGGTATCACTATCAGCAATAACCTTTCTTGGGAAAATCACGTGAGATCAATTGCTAAAAGTGCATCCCAAAAACTTCATTATCTGTTTCGAGCCAGGGGCTATTTCACTTCCAGTCAGCTGCTTATGATCTATAAGGCACAGATCCGACCTGTCCTGGAATACTGTTCCCATATTTGAAGCGCAGCACCCAAACATACCCTGAAATTGTTGGATTCTGTATAAAAAAAGGGCAATTCGTCTCGTTGGTGATGCTGCGCTCACAAACTCACTCACTCCTCTGGAACACCGTAGAAAAGTTGGCTATCTGGCTCTATTTTATAGATATTTTCATGGACGATGCTCTTCTGAAATATCAACAATTGTACCTCCCTTGGCAGTCCCCGCGAGATTAACCCGTCGAGTTGAGGCTTCGCACCCCGTTCACTCCTTCATCCAACGAACAGCGAGGCTCTGGAACACATTGCCAAGGGAGGTGTTCCCCGAGGCATATAACCTCCAGAAATTTAAGAAGAACCACCACCAAATCCTACCTTATTTCCCTTGGTTCTCACGATGTTCTCTGAACATTACAGGATATCCCTTTTCGTGGAAACCAGAACATAAAAAAAAGTGTGAATGGTGACAGATGCGCTGCGACGTGTTAAGATCTATTGTCAATGTTAACAGTGATAAAATTAAACTTGTCAATCGCTGATATCAATAACCTGAAACAATACATTAAAATGGGAAACCACAAGCACCAGAAGCTAGATTTGATTTTCTCTAACATTTCAGTCTCATATGTCAGATGACATTTGGGGATATTTTTTGTACATCAGTTTCTTGCCTTATTTCCTTCAGGTGTACATACCCGTAAATTAGAATGAGAAGGAAGCTGTCTAACCTCTGAAACCAAATCGGTTGAAAAGTTACGTCAACAATAATGTACACATAAACACACATAAATAAGCTCATAAATTATTTTGCTGGGATCTGCTGTCATTTCAGTATGTTGTAAATCAGGTATAACCGGTGTATCCAGACTTGAGTTAACAATTCCTTGGAGAAATTAAAATATACTTTTAACATTTCAACATGAATTCAAATTGGAATTATCATCCTCAAAAACAAACTCAGTATCATTGTTATTTTGTACATGGCCATAATTATTTAATCATCAAAAGAAGGTGTGCCTATGCGCATTTTATGTGACGTCATCTGGGATACCAATGACAGCTGCTAATCAAAGACAGATACAGTTTGCCATAGGCGTGCGCTATGAATTTAATCAAGTTAATTGAAATTTCTATGAGTTTCTCGATCTGTCTAGAAATAATTCAATTTATATAAATAGGTACCTATACCTTTGATTTTACTATTTCATTGATACTGGAATTTGCTATCTTGCGGTAATTCGCAATCGCAAAATGGCAAATACATAAGAATTATTATGCATTGCCAATCCCAACGACTGATCCGCCATTTTGTCAATTCTGACAGATTCAAATTCAGAAGTTGACGTTGCTTCTGCTTTGACATCGACAACAGGAGTATAATTTTTTGTTATCCAAATCTTTGCTGCAATTTATATTTTGTGAGAAATTGAGAATTTTGAATTAATTTTCATTTATTTCTAACTTGATATTCGGCGGAAGATGTTCTGTAACAATGGCTTCTTGTTTCAAATATTTGTATATTTTTGGTTTTTTGTACAACTGTACTTTCAATCTTGTTTGAAAAAGATTTAATTGGGAATGTTGCGAATATGAATGTGATGATATGATAGGTGAATACTTTGGAATGGGGATATAGGGGAATATAAGGAATATAAGGTAGTTACTATTATTTAAGTCAGTTTATTTTCGGTCGGCAGCAAGATTCCAGTCATCTTTTCATTAGTAATTTTCATAACCAGTAACGACACAAGTGGCCATTTTGAAATCATTTCAATTAATTTTCGAACTCAAATCTTTGAATTTGGACCTGAAAACAAATAGTAACAATGACAGCTATAACCCAGTTGACTAATAAACTTTCTGTCAACATGCCCAGTGTATTTTGCAGTCTGAAGGCACCAAGCCTCGCCTCTTCCTGTACCATCAAGTGGAGGAGAGGCAGATCCAGTAGTGTTTCCATGGCTGCGGTTGGCGTTGACCTCATATCCCTCTGTAGTTCCTACACATGCAAGTCTCTGTATCTTGCTCATCCATTAACCACCATTAACCTTATCGTTTATGAAGTTTTTTACCATTGACTCGTTCTTCATCGAAGGTTGGCGAAAGACGCTTTGCACGACCCCGTCAAGATATCGCAGGGCACGACGGGTCAGGCGAGCGAAGACGTGACGCAGCACGTGCTGCTGATGAACGACCAGGAGTCGAAACGCAGGTGGCTGTTCCGCATGCTGGTCGAGCTGTTATCCGCCGGGTCGGTGCTGTTGTTCGTTACGAAGAAGGCGGACGCCGAAATGGTGAGTTTTACTATCCGCGATCATACCATTCATTCCAAAATACGCGTTTTTGCTGTTTATTAAATACTAGCAGACCTCGCAAACATTGTTTTTCTCTATACATTATTTCTATGATATATTTTTACAGTTCAATATTCATCAAGAGACTATTATTATTTTATTTTCTACTTCTTTTTAGTTTCGCTATCTACAGTGTCATTCATAAAGTCGGCATCATATGGGAAAAACTTTTATTAATGACTTATTTTGGAATTCCAGGTGGACGTTAAGTTATGCTTCAAAAAATATGGAAAATGGCCTACTCAATCGGGGTCACGTGACTTTCGCTACATGTCAAAAGTGACATTTTTTCAAATTAATCGCTGAAAGTAGGCTTATTTGTTCGAATATCGAAGAAGTTTACTTGAAAAAGTTGTTTCTATTCCAATTTTACACATTATTCTCAAATTTGATCTTTCTATTGCAACTTTTAGATTTTTAATTTTTTTAAAATTTTTCGAAATTTCTGTAATATTTGAAGAATTGTTAATTCCACGAAACTACTTCATACCAGTAGCTTTCTCATGCTACTTACTTTCAATTACTTATTATCACTGATTATGGACAGAAGTATGATTTTCTTCAGAAAATGATAATACCCGCTTACAAATTCTGTTATGTTTGATGCAAAGTTGATATATCGTCAAGCATTTAGAAACGAAATTCATTTAAACTGATCTTTTCAGTACTGAAGAAAAAATGTAAATGAATTTCGTTTCTAAATGTTTGACTCAAACGTAACAGAATTTTGATGTTATGTTTGCATCAAACATAACAGAATTTTGAAGCGGAGATTATCATTTTCTGAAGAAAATCATATTTTTGTCGATAATTAGTGATAATTAGTAATTGAAAGTTAGTAGCATGATGAAACTACTGGTATGAAGTAGTTTTATCGAATTTACATTTTTTTTAATATTACAGAAATTTCGAAAATTTTCAAAAAATATCGAAATCTAAAAAATGTAATAGGAAGATAAAATCCGAGTCACATATGTAAAATTCAAATAAAAACAACTTTTTCAAGTAAACTTTTTCGATATTCGAACAAATAAGCCTACTTTCAGCGATTAATTTGAAAAAATGTCACTTTTGACATGTAGCGAAAGTCACGTGACCCCGATTGAGTAGGCCATTTTTCATCTTTTTGGAAGCAAAACTTAACGTCCAACTCGAATTCCAAAATAAGTCATTGATAAAAGTTTTTCCCATATGATGCCGACTTTATGAATGACACTGTATAAAAGCGTGTTTCTTTAGTTTTTCAAACTACCATTTTTTTTCAATTTCTCTTTAGTTTACTTGAATTTCCCAATTTTGACGAAAGACTCATAATATCCGACTCCTAAAACCCCGGATGAAAATTCTGAATAGAATCGAAACATAATTACAAAACTCGTCCTCAATATTGGATCAATTATCTTGAATTCCCTAATTTTGACGAAGGAATCATAATTTTTGATCCTGAAAACGCCCACTCACAAATTTTGAATAGAATCGGTATATAATAACAAAACTCGTCCGGTATATTGGTTCCATCATCTTGAATCAAATCCCGCCCTTTCCAACTTGACAAAAGAACCATAATCTCCGACCCCGAAAACACCCAGATAATAATTTTGAAGAGAGTCGAATCATAATTACAATACTCGTCCACCATATTGGGTCCGCCATCTTGACTTTCCTAATTTTGACGAAAGAATCATAATCTCCGACCCCGAGAACCACCATCAGATACCAAATTTGAATAAAATCGGATCCAAATTACAAAATTCGTCATTTTGGATCCGCCAGCTTGAATTTCCTTATTTTGACATGATTTTATCACGAAATGGAAAAAATTGATACTTTGCCATCTACTGATTAGTCCCTGTTTCTATTTTTATGACTTGATTGATTTAGCATTTCTATAGTTTTTAGATTTGTTGTTGTTGTTGTTGTCACCTTATGTTATTTTATTATTGTTCTTTGTAATCAACTTCCTCATACCAGAAACTTATTTCTGACTGGAAGCTAGTTTTTCAATAAACAATAACATGCTATGTTTTTGTGTTTGTAGTCGTTCTTTGCTCATTGGTAGTGTAATAAAAAATAAAACGAAATGATTCACCACAGCAGCAGGCTGTCATGGATGTCATAATATTTTCATATTCAGAAATGAGTAACACTAAACACTAATATTCACCCAAAATGGTGATAAGCACTCACTATTAATCTGTATCAAAGAATTTGAGACCAATTTTGTATGATTGACAATTAAAAAAAAACACTTTTAATATCAACTTGATAAATCATGAGTGAACCGCTAACCTCCTGACCATAACACACCATAACATAATTTTCAACGATCTCATGACAATCGATGACACGCCTATTTAGCAACCTAAATTCTTTGATGTATCGTTAGTTGCATAACGCAACGACTGCAAATGAAAAATACGACGTAAAATTTATGATTTATTCATAAAATAACGAGTGGAATAATCTCAACAAATACAACTTATTTTCATCGAAGAAATTTGTATTTCCATAAATTTTAATAGTCTTGTTATATTACATGCGAAAATCACAAAGTATGCGGACTCTGATGTCGAACGTTAGAACCTTTTTCGGGTGGTCAACAAACCAATTTAGCATTGTCAACATATAATTTATAATTGTTTCAATGGGATTTCGATTCCTTTTCGATAGTTTTTGGCTTATTTTGTACCTATAACTTGAGTGATTATTTTTTCAAAATAACTATCAAATGAACAAGCCAGTGAGAGTTCAATCCAGGAAGTATTTTTTCAGTTACTCTGTGCTCTTCCTAGTATATACAGGGTGTTTCAAAAAAACCTAATCCTCTTGCTAGGGTAGGTAGAACATTGCAAAATAAGTTGGGTTTGCTCTGTGAAAAAATGTCGTAACGGCATCCGTTTTCATGATACAAGGTGTTGAAAAAATATTTTTTTACACATTTTTCACGATTATTCCGAAACTACTGGCACCATTGTGATGAAATTTGGTATGGATGTTTCTTGCAATCTGATACATCGCATGAATTTGTTTTTATATCTGACTCTCATAGAGGGCGCTAGTTACACGGTTCGTACCGAGTAGTTTTGATCATAACTTTTTTGAAGTAATATTTTTCAATCCAAATATAATATGAACTTGAACATCATTCAATTTTACACCAAAAAGGTACTCTTGATGAAACTCGATACTATGTTCCGTTTTCGGAATATTTCGATTTGAAAATAATGGAGTAGTAATGATGCTGGTATAAAATGAATTTTATTGAGTTCAATCACCTATTTATTCAGGTTCAAAAACAATAAAATTATTCTTTTGCTGAAGTTATTGATGGAACAAAGAATCATAAGTAGAAAATTGAGAGATATTTGACTAGAAACATGAAATATTGAATCAGTTAGAGTAAGTGTTCAAAATGTCCTACGTTTCGAGGAATACACGATTCTATATTCTTTTTTTAAGAATGTATTATTCTTCTGAACAGTTGAGGATCAGCTGTTAGGTCATTTAAGTGATGTTCAATTATGTCTCACAACTCTTGACGTGAATTTACCTATGTAGCATAGACTTTCTGCTCAAGATACAACAAAACTGTGTAATCCATGTTCTTAGTCAAATCTGTATCGATGTTATTCTTGTGATTCATTGTTAAATCAATGAGTTTTGTATCAGAAATGTATTGTTGTTTTCCGTTTTCAATAAATAGGTTATAATTTTTCATAATACTCACTCTAATACATAGCTTTATACCAGCAACAGTTACCACTTCATCATTTTCAAATCGAAATATTCCGAAAACGGAACACAGTATCGAGTTTTACCAAGAGTACCTTTTTGGTGTGAAATTGAATGATGTTCAAGTTCACATCAAATTTGGATTGAAAAATCTAACCACAAAAAAGTTATGTTCAAAACTACTCGGTACGAATCGTGTAACTAGCGCCCTCTATGAGAGTCAGATATAAAAACAAATGCATGCGATGTGTCAGATTCCGAGAAACATCCATACAAAATTTCATCACAATGTTGCCAGTAGTTTCAACATAATCGTAAAAAATGTGTAAAAAAATATTGTTTCAACACCTTGTATCTTGAAAACGGATGGCGTTACGAAATTTTTTTACTGAGCCAACCCAGCTTATTTTGCAATGTTCTACCTACCCTAGCAAGGGGGTTAGGTTTTTCTGAAACACCCTGTAGACATTGTTTTGTTGAACAAATTTCCTCTGAACTATTTCAAAGTAATATGTGGTTTGCAGGTGGCGAGAGATATAAAACTCAAAGAGTTTGATTGCCTGTTATTACATGGAGATATGGAACAAGCAGAGCGTAATAAAGTTATAACGTCTTTCAAGAAGAATGAATGTTCCCTACTGGTAAGTAAAAACCACGAAATAGGCAAGAACACAAATGCGTGAATTCAATTTTCTACCTTGAACGAGAGAGAGGAAAGTTCTCTCCCCTTCCATCTTTCTCTTCAATGGCCGCATTGAAATATAGAGAGGTTTGATAAATCTTTCCTTGTCTAACATCTAGTTTATGCCACTGAACTATTTTTGAATTCAACAGTGTGTCAAATTAACGATATGTCAAAATAAGTATATGATAATCTGTAATTTGATTTAAAAAAATTTAAAGGTTATCAGTCTATGACATTTATGACATGTACATATCCAATCATTATAATCTGAACTAACTGAAATATCTCACTAGAACTGAACTGAATCAGTTATTCGGGTCGATTCTGTTCGGATCTTGTTATAACATTGCTAAGATAACAATATTGTTATGATCATAATATATAACAATATTGTTATGAAGTTCTGTATTCTGTTTGCAGAGTAACTGCAAGACTGGTTATAAGTTCAAGTGATAGCAATATTGTTGAAAAATTGAGAATTTTTGAGCTGACAACACTGTTTTCAACTCATTTCTTAAGTGTGAGGTATCGATTTTGCCATTTTTACATGAAGAAGAAGAGTTCATGATTATCTAACTTCTCAAATTAGTCAGTCCTGCACTGACACTTTACAAAATTATATTGTTCAAATTGAGAGATTCTGTATTCGATGAATCTGGTCGTCGTTGTGCGACTGGTGCAAGTAATCAATCATGTCCCCAAAATGAGAAAATAACCTAAAAGCCGGATGAAAATGATCGTGATTTTTTTTTCGAATATCCTAGCAAAATAGCTTGATAAACTATCCTTCAGGCAACTGAAATGGTTTTCTGGTTTCTCTGATATGCCGAAATTGTAGTCTCATATTCCCTCTACAAATTGGAATTTCAAGAAAAGGTTTTCAAGTAGTTGGTCACAGTAGTGAATCTATCCTATATGTTTGTAACCACCATTCTAAGTTTTTCAATAATTCTACAAATTGAAACTTTGAGGAAAGGTCTTCTAGTAGTCAGTGACACAAGTGAACTCACATAATATGTTTTTAATCCAATATTTTCTGAATTTTCATACACTTGGAAGAATTTGTAGTGCAAAAACAAAGAATCCACTACCTTGTTATAATATAGCAAGCACAAAATTGATGTTGCCGAGATAGCAAGAAAGCTGACCAGATGTCATTGAAATTGACAGATCATATTGTCAAAAATCGATGATCAAAATTCCACTTTTTCGAATCTTGCTATGATAGCAATATCTTCTCTACAACCATATTGCTATTTGCAAACAGAATCGACCCGAATATGTGATCTTTTGAAAGAATTTGATTAGATATAGAATGCATGATAACTGATTCAGTTCAGTCCAAGTGAAATCAGCATCATCATCATCATCATCTTTATTGTTCCCAAGAAACAATTGACGTATATGTTTATAACAGGGAACATTAAAAAAATAAACCATAATGTATTACATTACATTCAAAATATAGTATTCATAGGTATAATAATTATTCTAGTAATTCTCATAGTTTGAACAGATCCTTGTTTGAGTGAATGAATGATTAAAATAATTGATATGTTATATGATCTCAATATGGATGGCATGACAAAATTCAGACGAATAAATATTTTTTGAGTTCTTGAATTTTTTGGTATTGATTTTTTTTTTAAGTCTTGTTGGCAATTCATTGTAAAGTGATAATCCATTGTAATATATTGATCTCTTGCCAAATTCAGATTTGATTTTAATGAGGGAAAACATGTCTGTTTGTCTAGTTGAATATGAATGTATATTAGCATTAATTTTAAAATTCAAATTGGAATGTTTATAATTGTGTTTGACTGAATGAACAAATGTTAATATCTTGAATTTATATATTGATTGAAGATCTAATATGTCAGATTCTAAAGAAAATAATATTATACGCGATAGAAAATCAGCGTACGCCACCTATTGGAATTCTTGAAAGCTTTCAAAGCGGCATGTGTACTTTGTTTTCATTGCTTCACATTCGTGTTTTGTTTGTGCATATTGGTCACATCATCAAAACAAATCGCTAAGAGTTCAAGTAGTTACTGTCAGGTGGAGTGACGTGTTATTTTCTAACGCGAATAATATCGAAAAAAGTTCAGTGACGCAGACCAGAGGTTGATTGATTGATTGATTAATAGCAGAATGATCAGTCAGGGTTTGAAGCCCAAAACACTGCAGCCTTTGGGCCTATTGTATTCCTGATCATGCTGTTGACTTAGGTGAACAGGTTCGCTACCTTGATGAGGTTTAGCAGCCTCTTCACCAGATCATTCTTTGAAAATGCCTCTTGAGAGTTTACTGCTCCCAGAAGGTTGTATCTCCAATGCGCTAGTGCTTCGCACTCCAATATTATACATGAGTGGCAGTTTCCTCCTCCTCATTGCATAGTCTGCATATGGGTTCGTCTGTATAGATGCCCATTTGATGCATTATGTTTCCTCAAGGGGCAGTGACCGGTTATTAGCCCCGTCACTTGTTTGATCTGACTTCTGTTTAGGCTCAGAATGTCGTTAGTCACTGTTTTGGACAGTGTTCCAACCATCAGTTTACTGTGTCTTTGTCCTGGGACATTGTTCCAGTATGCCTGATGTCTTTCTTGCATCCACCTTGCCAGCCAGCCGCGTATTGAGGTTTTGGGGATACCGAACACAGGTTCAGGCCCCATAAACAACGTCGCAGACCCTTGCCGGGCAAGAGCGTCAGCTGCTTCATTGCCTTCAATTCCCTTATGCCCTGGCACCCATTGAAGAGTTACCTTGTTGTGGTTAGCCAGGGTTAGCAGGCTTTGAAGGCAATCCCAGACCAATTTTGATCTGATTTTATTGCATGTTAGAGATTGAATGGCCGCCTGACTATCTGAGCATATGAGGATTTGTTTACCTCTGTATCCTCTTACGATATTCTCTCACAGGCAGACCAGAGGTTAGACAAGGAAAGATTTATCGGACCTCTCTACATTTCAATGCGGCCAGGTTGGTAGCATTGATGAGAAAGATGGAAGAGGAGATAATTTTCCTCGCTCTCATTCAAGGTAGAAAAGAGCTCAATTTAAATAAATATGCTGTAATACTTACGAAAACTACCATTAAAATGACCTACAATTTCATGGAATGTTTAAACATATCGTTCGGCGGCATATTTGTCTATTCTTCATAACCCCATTTCCCGCGTTGCCAGCTGTTTTATTTTATCAACCCGCCCTTAGGTGGCGACTGACGTGGCCGCACGCGGTCTCGACATCCCCCACGTCAAAACTGTAGTCAACTTCGACATCGCCCGAGACATCGACACGCACACGCACCGAATCGGGCGGACGGGCAGGGCGGGACAAAAGGGCACCGCCTACACGCTGCTCACGCCCAAAGACAAGGAGTTCGCCGGGCACATCGTGAAAAATTTGGAGGCCGCCAAGCAGGAAGTGCCGCAAGAAGTGCTCGATTTGGCCTTGGAGAGCTCCTGGTACAAGAAGCAAAGGTAACTGATCCTTCGATCGATTTGTTGCAATATTACTGATTATGCTGTTTTGGTTTGCCGGGTCTCATTAGTCGCACTCGATCTGATGGTGTATACTCTATTCCAACTAAGAAGAGAGTATGTTTAGTGCTCTAGTACTTGTATTATCGCATATAGTATAAGACATTTTCATTTGTTGTTAACATTACGACGTTTTGTTGAATCATAAGATATATCAATGAAATCAATAATCAAAGAGGGAGTGCAATGCGAATTGCAATTCTAATATCAAACTTTATATACAAAAACACTACTATTTATCAAGCACCGATAATATTGGTCCTTCGAACCGGATCTATTCGAATCAAAATGTCAAGACTGCAAAGTTCTCCACAAAGGATACAGAGCAGCACTCAACACTATCTGAAGTAACGGATAGCAACAAACAGTTCAAGCCAACAGAGCGGTAGAAACCATAAAGAACATATTGAAAAACATTTACTCTATTTCAACTAAGAAGACAGCGTTAGATTGTAAGAAACCTAGATTGTAAGGAACCTTAAGGAACAAATTGAGAAACAGAATTGATGTTCCTGTTCGGCACATTGAGTACTGATTTTTATCTGAAATTGAAAAGTTAGCGAAGTGTAATTATTTGTTGAAAAAAGTGTGAAAATTCCGGAATTTTTTGCGAATATCTCGGTACGTTCTAGGAAATTTTGATTGCGAACTCAGATTTGGATTCAGCACTCCCAAAAACATATCGAACTACAGAGAAATGGACATTTGTTCTATTATGTCGCCGATATTCCCAACAGAAATGCTGCGGAAATGTATGGATGGAGACGAAGAAAAATTCCTTGAACTGCTTCTGCTACCTGTGAAAGCCCCAGTTGCTTGGTATTCACTGTTACTCTAGGTAGTCCTGAATGCTGATCTGTATCCTTTGTGAAGGTTTGATTTGAATAGATCCGGCTCGAAGGACCATTATGTTCGATGCTTGATAGATAGTGGAAAGTATTTGCATGGTTATACAGAGGGTGAGTCAATAGTGTGTTCTCCGATATTAGCCAAACCGTCAGATTTATAGTAAAAAATCGAATATATCAGTTAAAGGGTTTCATGAAAACTATTTTAATATCTATAGGGTGTTCGAATCCCAAGATATCGGCTGATGATGTTTTTTTTAATACGACACCCTATATATTATTACAATTTCAAGTTCTCCCTGGAGAGCTGATTCCATCAATACATCAAACTTGGGGTCTAGCAGGAATGATTACAGAGATATAGGGTGTTCAAAATCGAGATTATTCAACTTATTGGTCAAAACGGCTTACATGTTTCATTGCTGAGTGTCATCGCAAGGTCATCTGATAACCTTGATATCCGCCAATATTTATGTATTTTGACTTGATAACTCGGAATCACAACTTTCTGATCTAATGACAATCATTCTTTAGGTACAAGAAGAAAGGTTACAATCCTAACATCGGCGGGACGGGCTTAGGATTCCAAGAGAAAACTGCAGCTCCTGCGACTTCTTCTTCTGCGCCTGCGCAGCCGAGTGCGGCGCCTAGGGGACCGGCTACCGATCGCCTGTCTGCTATGAAGGCGGCTTTCCGAACTCAATACCAAAATCAGGTCAGTCGTTTTAGATAATTCAAATATTAACATAGTAATTGAATTGTTCAATCAGTTTCCTATTCCGAATACTTGATTATTTCAATCTTCTATACTTCGAATGTGCTAAATGTTCCTTGAAACTAATTTTGATAACTCTTTTTGTTTGTCCTACATATTGTCAATATTGTAACATTAGGATTGAGCAGAGTTGCCATGATGATTTGGCAAAAAAACAGTCAAGGATAATTTATACAGGGTGACAAGGTCAGTGATACTTGAAGGATGGATATCAGCCAGGAAAGTAGTGGTCTTTCTTCTGTCATCTACCATTGTTGTTCATTTTATGAACATTTGTGGAAATTACTGAGTTTTTATAGTTGATTGATTATTCATAAAACAATTCAGTTAGCCAGGAGAAAAATAGTGCTTCTTCTTTTCATACGTTTGGTAACACAAAAAATATGGAGTAATGGAGAACACTATTCTAACCTTCATATAGAAACTATAATATATGGACAATTGCCTTATAGAGATCATTATAAAACGATAAAACAAGAGCCTTCTTACCATCATAGAATCTTCATTGAACTAAATCTCATAACATAGATATCTAAGATGAATACTGCTTGATCTCATAACTAAGAGATCCAGGATGAACAGAGTTGCACCAATTGTCAGCAGGAGACAGTACTGTTGCGACCCACCAGGTCTCATCAGCCGCTCTCGGTCTGCTGACAATTGGGACAACTCCAAGCTTCGGGTATACCTGTAGGTATAACATGAAGTTCTAGTGATGTTAAAGCCATCTAGAGGCAAAGCTCTAAGGTAGGATCAAGAGATCGCGACACACACTGTATGGCGCTGCCATCTATAGTCATACGTACAGACCCTTACGTTTATACGCTTGAGAGTGGTACTACAAGTAAACCACTCTGCTGACAGATGGCACTACCTGACTTACTTTAGTGGATTTTTCCACCGACCTATTCAACTGCTAAATCTCATAACAAAGAGACTCAGGATGAACAGAGTTGCCCCAATTGTCAGCAGGAGCGAAACAGTACTGTCCGCTACCTTAGAGCTTTGCCACTAGATGGCTTCAACATGACTTGAACTTCATGTTATGCCCTGCATTTAAGATGAATAGTTAGTTGAGAGATCTAGTACAATAAGTTGAACTGAAGGTTTTTCCACTATTGTAGTCCCACTCTGAAACGTGTAGACATACGGGTCTGCACGTCATGGAGTGTATGACTCAATCGAAAGGTCCCACCTTAGAACTAACGCCACATATAATTTTCATTATTTCACGTTGGAAGACATGAACAGAATATGAGAAGGACATGGGAGGTCGAGGAGACATATCTTTCTTCTCTAACGATTCCTGAACTTCTATATTTCCTTTGTTAACAATACTTCGAGAAGCTAGCTTTGTGAAAGAAATCATGTCTTGCTCGTCTGTGCTTGTCTTCAGAGTTTCAACGTGAAAGTATGAAAATTTCATGATGGTAGCACAAAAAATGAGAAGAAATGGAAGATACCATTCTAACCTCGATACAGGGTGTTCCTTAAAGACATGCTAATATTTGAGGGGGTGATTCTGACTCATTTTAAGAAAAAGAACTTCATATGAACGTATGTCCTAAAAGTCTTAACTTTTGAGATACAGAAAAATATTCAGTTTTTTTATGATAACTAAGATAATATTGTATACATCCATATGAAATTTGGTACACGTGTTTTATGCATCAAGGTGTATTTTCTGTTGTACGAAAATTTTCATTTTCTCTACCAGTGGCACCGTTACAGGAAAATTATTGTTTATATTTTACTTAAAAGTGAGCAACGACGAAAAATTTTCAAAATTCATACAATGCTATAAAAGGCTATTCGATTATGTACAAAAAAGATCCTCTTGTTGATACTCGATAGAACGCTTCGTTTTCGAGAAAAAACGGAAAACGAAACTAGACTTCAAATTTTGATGTTTGGGGACTCCATTCAGGACATCCATTACTGGATAACCACCGTATGTAACATTTTGAAATTTGTATACCGATGCAGTCACATAGCAGACTGAATTTTGCCATCACGAAAAGCTATACAGGGTGGACAAAAAATAATTTATGCATATTTTCAACATTGACACCCTATATCTCAAAAGTTAGGACGTTTACGACATATTTTCATGTGAAGTTTTATTCTTGAAATGGGTCGAAGATTCGGCCCCTTGAATATTAGCATATCATTATGGAACATCCTGTAGAAAAGATTGATTGCTGGGCTTCTTCTAATTTTTAGTGTTACCATTAGGATTTTTCTTATTTTACGTTGAAACCCTGAAACTTCTCAATTCTGTTTCATTGAAATTCACGCCTTCATTCATAATTTGAGTATTTTTTTTTTGTTTCAGTTCACTGCTTGTTCAGAACAACCTAGTAATTCAGCGACTCTAGTGCAAGCGTCAAAGAGGAAATCTAGATGGGAATAAACTCAAAACACACTTTTATTTCCTCGGGAGTGATTGGAAGTCATTGAATTGTATATGAGTGATACTTATTTGTTCAATTTACTCTTTGAACTAGATGAAATAAAAAAAATTAGATAAGATGATAAGATTAAACTCTTTCATTTTTCTTAGTAACAGTTTATACAAAATAACCTACATTAAAATTGATAGTTATAAGTTTAAAAAAACTAAGTTATGCAAGAGTGCATCGATATCACAGCTGAGAAATAGGTACAAAAAAATTACAGTTACTGGTCCAAAACCCAAACTAGCGGCTCGTCGCTCTTCTTCGTCCTCTTCTTCTTCGTTAAAAACCTCTCAGATTTTTCCGGAGATCCGTGATTTCTATACAAACCTCCCGACTTAACAAGCTCTCCATCAACAGTATAACTCTGCCTCACCCTCCTGATTTGCTTATAGAGCAATTTGTGACTTTCAAACTCTGGCCGCGGTCTATTTTCCGACAAAATCGAGGCACTTTCGCAAACGGATCTTTTCACGTCCTCGAAACTTTCGGGGGAGTATCTGTGGTGCGAGTTGTAGAACTTTTTGAAGTTGTCTTCGTGCGCGACGCATTGCATCACCGTCCATGTGTGCGAGAACAATAAAGGGAATCGGTCGAGCCAATACAGGGTGAACGTTTCCGAGTCCTTCCCCAGGATGTATTGGGCTTCAGCGGACAGTTCTCTGAAGTGGTGTTTCTGAAAAACAATGATTTTTCATTCTAGCGTGAAATTTTGGAGACTGTGGTTGAATTATTGTCATACAAGGCGAGGTATACACAGTGTAGAAACCTACGGTGGAATGAAATCCATATTTCCAAAATTGAAATATACTGGGTGATTCATTGGGAAATGCGCATACAGTAAATGTAGATGGAGGATGTGTTGTCCCAATGGGGAAGTTTCCTTCAGATGAATTTTCATAAAATAAGTTCGGAACTCTCCACGCTGTACAGAATGGCGACCGATAAAGTCCAAGTCGGTTTCATTTTCAAATTGAAGCAATTTCTAATTTTCGGGGTGGCAAACTGTGACGTACAGGGCGATTCACCATAAATGTCCCCCCCTCCAGCTCACTTATTTTTTAACCGATTTAAAAATTTGAAAGATCGTCTGAACTGGTTTTTCAGATTTTTTTTCCGTTGCATCAGAAAATACAGGGTGCTCGGAACAAACGATCTACAGAGTACTACTTGATTTTTTTAAATGGAACACCCTGCATTTCATTATATTTTTAGATTCTCCCTGAAGAGCTGATTTCATCAATATATCACACTTGGGGTCTAGCGGGAATGATTACAGAGATATAGGGTGTTCAAAATCTATATTTTTAAAATTTCGTATTTTTTTGTGTCGAAACTATTCATTATTGGTCAAAACGGCTTCAATGTCCCTATCTCAACTTTTGATTTACTATCTACTGTCATTTAATTGGAACATCTACAGTGTGGTTCAAGATTCAGAATTATGATCACCCTGTATCTGTTCCAATTATTAAATGTTAGTAGATAGTAAATCGAAAGCTGAGACACGGACATGGAAGCCGTTTTGACCGATAGTGAATAGTTTCGTCACAGAAAAATCCTAAAGTTGAAATATCTCGATTTTGAACACCCTATATCTCTGTAATCATTTTCGCTAGACCCCAAGTGTGATGCATTGATGAAATCAGCTCTTCAAAGAGAATCTAAAAATACAATGAAAAATAGGGTGTTCCATTAAAAAAAATCAAATAGTACCCTGTAGATCGTTTGTTCCGAGCACCTTGTATTTTCTGATGTAGCGGAAAAAAACTCTATCGAAAATCATTGAAGATGATATTTAAAATTTTGCAATCGGTTCAAAAATAACTGAGCTAGAGGGGGGGACATTTATGGTGAATCACCCTGTACATTCTGAATCTTGTCTAGTGAAAATAGCTGATGGTGAAGAAAACGGCTAGCGAATAGCTAACGAATAAAAAACAAATGAAAAAAATAGAAGGAGTAAAACTGGTAAACAAACACATACATAACCACAAATGCACTCGGAGCAAGAATGCAGACGGTAGTTGGCTTCATTCTGAAAGGTTATGGTTTTGTTATTTATGCATTGAAATATCTCGCATAGAGCTCGATACTAAACGAAAATATCATTGAATCAATGAATCACTATCGGCTACATTCAATGATACTATCCTTCCTAATTTACTGTCATCGGTCAGAACAGAATGAAGCCGACACCCATGGCTCCTTCCTCTTGTTGTGCCTGTCAGTATTTTGAATAGTGTGAATGGACTAGAAAATAGATCCGTTTTATTAAGGAACGAATTCATTAGCAAAAAAATTTCTGACAAGTTATGAATAACATATGTAATATGAGTTTGTGCAGTTTCCAACTGTGAGAGAAATAAGAAGAACAAGAAATAATTTTCTGATCAATTTATCGTCCCCTTTTACCCACTCGAGGAGACGCTATGCACTCTCATACAAAAATCAAAGACAGAGAAAGATACATGGATGTATTCTTCCCAGGACTCGTGGAGGAAGGAAGATGCGAGGATCCTTTATCTAAGCGAAAAACATATTCTTGTCCTTGTCTGGAAAAACATGATTTGCTTCAAAATCGTTTGTGGTTATGTTTGATTGTCACTGCTTGTCTAGTGTCCGTACTCTAATATACAAAAAACGTCAAAACAGCAGTTTCAAGTACATTTAGGAACTCTAGCTAATATAAGCAATCAACCAAAAGTTAGGATGACCAAAACAATAGAGTTCAATGATAACTGCACGTACTCACGATATACAGAGTTGGTCCAAAAATAGCAAATGTTCCAATTATTTCCGAAAAAGTGAGCGGTTGAAATCAATTCATTTTTGGACATTTCGTTGTATACTAATATCAACATCGATACATGATAATTGCATTTCTTGTACCAGGTTATATATTATACACATGATGTTCAAGTTTCCATGAAACCGCACCCGTCCTGATATCCATATCCATCGAATGATTGGAATCCTGTAAAACTTGGTGAGGAAGTTGATAATTCGTGATGACAATATTTTATGCGATACCTGAATTATACAGGGTGGTTGAGAAAGTAGTAGTGGAGTTTTCTTGGAGTTGACGTTCTCAGGATTACTGTCTTGTTTCTCAATTGCTCTGGAGTATGCCAACTCCAAGAAAACTCCACTACTACTTTCTCAACCACCCTGTATAATTCAGGTATTTGCATAAAATATTGTCATCATGAATTATCAACTTCCTCAAGTTTTACGGGATTCCAATCATTCGATGGATATGAATATCAGGACGGGTGTGGTTTCATGGAAACTTGAAAATCTTGTGTACAATATGTAGTCTGATTCAAAAAATGCAATCATCATGAATCGATGTTGATATTAGTATACTACAGAATGTCCAAAAATGAATTGATTTCAACCGCTCACTATTTCGGAAATAATTGAAACATTTGCTATTTTTGGACCAACTCTGTATATCGTGAGTACGTGCAGATATCATTGAACTCTATAGTGGATTTTCACCGGCCACATGGACAAACAAAACGTAGTCGATTTGATCTTGGTATTCAAAAAGGAAACTTCACAATGGCCATTCGAAATTTTGAAAAAGTCAACTTCAGCACCCTGTATAATACAAACTATTGAATTTAGAGCATTGATAATTGGGATATCTGATCAGCATCACGAGTTCTACGATATATCCAAAATTCGAGAAAATTCACCGAAAGCCAATTTTTCCCCTATTGCGGTGCGGGGTCCACCACAAATAAAATCTGACGTCACGATTTCGAAAGTAGGGGCAGACTATAGCACAGTCGTCATGTGTTAGAATACAATTGGGAACTTCTGAAATATAAGTTATTCAAACATTCATAAATTCTCAATTATGTATTGGTTATATACCTATTTAGCAATACATAATCAGTTGTCTCAAAATATTCCCTTATGATTTGTGGCTTGTTGCTTAATTTGTGTAAATAGTTGTTGCCTATATTAATTCACACTAGAGGACATTTGAAGCGGTGAACGTGACAACACGGCGCGCACTACTTGTGGGCGTGGTCTTGTCCCTTCTCAACATTCTGCACAACGTTGCCAAGTCTCCAACATTTACATGATATTCTGTTATGGAGTATAAGAAATATTTGGACATGCTGGTTGCACGAAAAAGTCAAGAATGAACTATAATATCATGGGTTCCTCCCACTATGTTTTATTCAACGACAGGAATCTTACATCTTTCTGATAGCTTGATTATAATTGGTAACTTGACAACCTTGCTTCGTGAGTGGAAATGGAAGATTATCTGACCAATAACGAAACAGCATAAAAGCTGACGTCACCATTTATTCGACGTATCGCCAAATGGTCGCCATGACGGTACGTTTGAAATGAGCTCCGAAATTCAGCAATTTCGAACGATGCATACACTCATTATTTACATAAAAAAAGCGTGAGGAGTGTTGCAAACATTGATTTAGGTCCCTAACTACACAGTGGAGCAATTGAATGCCAATAATTCATTTCAAGTCCACTCGGCCATTATCAGTTTTGTTAGCGACTAGCCAGATGCCGGACGCCCTGTACCATTAAAAGCACAGAGCGAGCTACAGTTAGTGGTTACATAAGGTTTAGTCACCTATCTACAAATGACTGTATCCGATCAGGAGGCATTTAGGTTGATTCATTCTTATTTGAAGCGTTGTAAAGAATACATTGTGTTGAGTGTTAATAAAGGTGCAAGGTTTCAGAGGGACTGATTCTGTTCTGTCAACCCTATACCGAGCAGTGCTAATAGTTTTTTTTTTCATGGACATCCTGGGCACGGCCTTGACCCTGCAGGTAGTTTTCCCCCACAGGGTGTGTAAGAGATGAATGGAAGCTTGTGAAATTTATTGAAATATTCACTGGACATGGATGCCGTTTTCCTGTTTACGTTCAAGAAACGTCACTAAAGATAATGTTCTACATATTTACCAACCTTGTTCCGCAGTGCTCTCAGTAAATCTCTGACAGAACTACCGTTATACGAACGATACTTTTTCAAATCGGATGCAACCTCATCGTGAATATGCATTCTCCAATCTGTTCTGACTACTTGTTGGGCGTCGCTTTCCAATTCCAAAAGGACTGCGTCGGTGATGTCAGCTTTCTCCACTCTGTCGCTGACTTCCTGAAAATAGGGTTATATTTCCTTTTGAATCAAAACTAATTCGAATAGGCGAGTGGAATATTTCTTAAATTGAAACACATCAAGGGTACATGTTTTCGGACATACGTATGTCTATCATCAGCCTAATAAGAAAGGACCCCGCACATTTAGTACGTAAAATGGCTTTCGGCTAAATTTTCTGAAAATTTGATATGTTTAAGACATTATCGTCCTTATCACACAGTCCAATTTACAGATCGATCCTATGACCAGTTTTCGAGCTACAGGGTGTGAAACATTAGATTTTGGCTGTTTAGAATATTTTGCATCAATTTGAATTATGTGCTCTAAGTCGTGATTATTCTTCAGTAGGAATGAACCCTTCACGTCTAATATCTACCTCATGAATACCTCTATTCGGTTAGAGGATAATATCACCTACAGAGTATTGCATTCCATCATGACAAGGTAATATTCTTGGGAAAAGACAAATATTGAAAACATCAGAATTTTGATTTTTACTCAATCACTGAAAACTTGAAAACAAACGGCTAGAATCGGCCAATTATTTGACACAGTATGGGTCTTGATCATCAACATGAGGATTCATATGATTACCTCTGATACCATGTCCAATTGGCCATATATAGGGTGATGACAATTTGAAAGCTTATAGAATTGATGTAACTCAGGTACAAAATGAGATACATTTCTATAATATATGAAGTGGAAAATGAAATGTCTCATGAAATAACCCACCCCCACCAAGCCCCTGATGAGTCACAACCACCCCAACGCATATCATCTCAATAGTAGCCCCTACTTATTGTGATACCTCATTGAATAGCTTGGTGAAAATACATTTCAGTGGTATTATTCATATCTCGAACTGGGTGAACAAATAAAAAATATTCATCACCTATATCATTCTGCTGGGGTGACGTATTAATTCCGTAACTTTTTGTAGCATGGGGAATAATCGTTATTATCGAGCATTATATAAATAACCATAAAAGTGAAATTGCTTATGTGAACAGTTGGCTAGTGAAGCGAGAGAAAACTGAAATATACAGAATGTTCTAGTAACCTAACCTAACCTAACCTAACCTAACCTGAGCTGGTCAGACGGTAAGGACACAGCTCCATTCAATCCAGCAGAACATCTCCAAGATAGAAGTTGTAAAACTGTGACATGTCCGCTATGTTTGAATTCTCAAGAGAATTTGTATTTTGATGATTGTCAAAAGCTGCTGATAGATATTTTTGCGAGATGGTTGTATTGAGACAAGTTGTCAGAATGATAGTACATAATGGATCGCACTAGACTATATATATTTCATCCATGCGGTTATTTTTGCATATTGTTATGTGCATTACAAAACACTCATTGAACTATATAGACAATAATTATTCGAAACCTCTCCAATCAACATAAATCCGCCAAAGATGTTTGGATGATATTCGAAAATTGGCTAATTGAAATATTACCTATACCTAGTCAAATTGTTCAACATAATTTTGATCTTATGAAAACATAATCATTTAGGTACTTACCTGGACTAAACATTCTGTTCATCGCCGTGTTCTCTCGCTACACCGATCTACTGTACACAAATACTTGTTTCAAATCATCTGAATATAACTATTTCAGCAATATGTCTCTTTAGTGCTCGATATTAACGATTTATTTTTCAAAAGTTATAAAATTAATACGTCACCCCAGCAGAATGATATAGGTAATAAATATTTTTTGTTAGTTCACCCAGTTCGAGATATCAATAATAATACCACTGGAATGTATTTTCACCAAGCTATTCAATGAGGTATCACAATAAGTAGGGGCTACTATTGAGATGATATGCGTTGGGGTGGTTGTGACTCATCAGGGGCTTGGTGGGGGTGGGTTATTTCATGAGACATTTCATTTTCCACTTCATATATTATAGAAATGTATCTCATTTTGTACCTGAGTTACATCAATTCTATAAGCTTTCAAATTGTCATCACCCTATATATGGCCAATTGGACATGGTATCAGAGGTAATCATATGAATCCTCATGTTGATGATCAAGACCCATACTGTGTCAAATAATTGGCCGATTCTAGCCGTTTGTTTTCAAGTTTTCAGTGATTGAGTAAAAATCAAAATTCTGATGTTTTCAATATTTGTCTTTTCCCAAGAATATTACCTTGTCATGATGGAATGCAATACTCTGTAGGTGATATTATCCTCTAACCGAATAGAGGTATTCATGAGGTAGATATTAGACGTGAAGGGTTCATTCCTACTGAAGAATAATCACGACTTAGAGCACATAATTCAAATTGATGCAAAATATTCTAAACAGCCAAAATCTAATGTTTCACACCCTGTAGCTCGAAAACTGGTCATAGGATCGATCTGTAAATTGGACTGTGTGATAAGGACGATAATGTCTTAAACATATCAAATTTTCAGAAAATTTAGCCGAAAGCCATTTTACGTACTAAATGTGCGGGGTCCTTACATAGTCCTACAGCCATGGACGTATAAACAAAGAAGGACTCATTTATTTACATCATAATGTGAAGCCAGAGAATACGGTCACAGTATATTACCTGATGTTGAATTGGAGGTTGTCACGTCCTGTCGCGAATAATTCCTAACCTCAGTCTAATCCTCTCAAGTATTTTACTCACCTCTTTTGTAATCATCTATTCAATTAGATGTTCATTATGATGCAATTCATAGATCTCAAGGAATAAATCATATGTCCATAGATCATCACAATCAAATATTATAAAACTGTCGTTATTATTTCAAAGTTATTCTGTGAAGGTTACCGAGATTATACACAACCGACAACGCCGCTTCTAAACAGGCTCGTTTCGTGCTTTCGGCGAGTTCGGCTTTGTTTGTTTATGTTTCTGTGTTTGAGGAAGTTTGTTGTTTTCGTTGTTTTTTAGTGAACTTTCTAGTTTTTTTGTAAAAAGTTGATAGACAGAGTGTGTCCCAGCAATTTTGGGACACCCTTGGTTGGTTTGTTGGTGTACCATATGGAAAAAGATACAGAACTTTCAATGATTCCTTATATAGTACCAAAATTTCATCATTTCAATAATCTATTTTGCGTACCAGTTCACCACACCACAGTTATATGGAATCCATTATTCAATATGAGAAAACCTGAAATCGGAAAAAAACGTTTCCATAGGTAGGTAGGCAGACACGAAAGAGAGTATTTTCGCCAACTTAATTTATAATTTTCCAAATAGATGAAAGGTTTTGTCGGAACACAAAACTGTATTTATTTTGTTCACTTGGTATAAGCCATAGCGACCCGGATCGATAAACTGTCATACAGTGATTGGTATTCAGTTTTTAGTCGCTCTTTGCATTTTAGATTCCGAAATTTACTATCGCGATAATTCATTTTCGCACGCCGCTGTCGTTTGAGGAAACAGCACAGTCTATCGTTACCGTTTCCCTTTCCCTCAACCCGCTTGCCTACATCTCTAAAACTTCAAAACATTATATGCTGAAACTATAGAGTTGCTGTGTCCTTCTTTTTTATACGTCCATGCCTACAGCCTACAATTGTAATGAAGTGTTTTTGACCAGCTTCATTACTAGACTGGTTTTGATCAAAATCCAAGTACCTGACCCTGATTCTAGTTGAATTTCACCTGTTCGAAAGCTCGAAACCTGAAAACCTGAGAGAGCTGAGTAATGCATTGATTCCTGACTTCCCAAAGCTTTTCCTGATAGTGAACTCTCATGAACATCATTACAACCCTAAAGACTTCCATATTTTCCAACCCTTTGCTTATGATATGAAATTAGATGAATTATCTATCTGTTGAAATGATTGATGTTTGACTGCTCATAACTTTGTTGTTATTGAATATTTTCCAGCCAAATTCATTCAGTAGCATAAGCAAAGGTAGTAGATCCTGTTCCTGTGCCCATTTACTGACAGCCAGTACATCTTTGTTTGTTGGATTTCATTTGTCACTTAAATGACATTTGTATTTTAAGTTTAAAAAAATCATCCGAAAATAATTCACGATATTAGGACGATACATCAATTATTACAACAATTTCAGTTTCATGTATCCAAATGGATGATCATATTATGGCTACATGCCAAAAATGAAAGACATATAGATTCTTGACAAGTAGCCAAATGAAAAAAACTTAGTTTCTATCCTAGTTTTCTCAATATCCTGAGTTATATTCGAATGGTTTTTTTAAACTCAATGAAATTATTGGCAATCTTCTGGGACTGATCGGGGTATGGAAAATATTCTGATAATATCGTCCAAGTAATGATCTTTGCATTTCTAAGTCTATCAAGCATCGAAATGTCATTGTATTCGGGCCACAGCCAACTCCATGTATTTCAATAAAATACAATTTAACAGCCAATTAATGAACGAATATCAAATTGTGATACATAGTTGAATAGAGAATTTCAAGGCAAATAAGACAGAAATATACAGAGTGCCATTTGAAAACAAAGTTGGTTCTACTTCCGATCAAACAAGTGGTTGAAGAAAATTATCATTGGGTTCAAGGGAAGCGCCATGATCGATAATAATAACACTTGAGAATTTCAATTTTTTATCACTCCAAATAAAAAAACTACAGGCTGTTACATGTTTCCTGTGTCACCCGGTATGAATGCCAATAATTCATTACCAGTCCAGTAGCCCATTGAAAAAATGCACAAGTGTGCACGAGGGAACTTTCACTCTCAATATTAAATGTTTGATAAACATGTTGACATTACAGTTTTCTTTCCCCCCGTATAATTCCATTATCATCATTATTCATAGATAAATCATTTGTTCGGAAATTAATCGGTTAGCAGCATGAATCAACCTATTAGTCATTCATTCGGGACCAGGTGGTAAGTCATCAAGACAGTCTTATATTAGTTATCATCACGTACGGTCGTATATTGTGATCGACATTGAAAAATACGCGGAAGAAATTATTTATCGTTCCAAACTGAGTGTTCCCTAAAAACTGAGTGAT